AATTATGATTAGTCCCACTAGTGTAATTTGTTTATAGCTATATTGTACATATACTTTGTTTTCTTTTTTCAATTCAAGTGTAGGGAGTTTTTATATTAATTTATGTGATTTCCTATACGATATTTAAACCTTAATATTTTAGGTCATTGTGAAAAATGACCTAGAAGTCCTATATCATTTGTCTAATGACTCTAAAAGCATTTGGTGGAAGTATAAATAAGTGTGGCTTTACAAAAAGAACAGGTGTTCTTATATTGCTACTAGGCTATAATTTGCATAACTATTTTCAATTTTGCGGTTAATTTGGAAGACGGTTATAAATCCACAAGTGGGTTTGTTTTTTTAAAATGCCAGCAACTCTACAATAAATTTTAAAATGAAATACTATAGGATACCTTGAGATAAAATAATTTAAAATAAATTTTTAATAATTCAGGGTATAATAGACTGATCACCGAATTATTCCATCCCCAAATAGCCTGAACTTTTTCCAGTAACTATTTTCTATAGCTTTCTTAGTCCTAAGCATAGTCTATTTTTCTCTCTTAACAGGCAAGAATTTTTTAAATGTCAGAATTCAGATTATATTATTATTTTAAAATGTATTTATTGATCTCATAGGGAGGGAGGGAGAGGGGGAGAGAGAGAGATAGAAACATCAATGATGAGAGAATCATTGATGGGGGGGCCTCTTGCACACCCCCTACTGGGGATCGATATTGCAACCCAACCCGAGCATGACTGGAAATTGAACTGCAATCTCCTGGATCATAGGTCGATGCTCAACCACTGAGCCATGCCAGCTGGGCCAGATTATATTATTGGACTCTTGTTAGGTACATATAAAAATTTATTTTCTGTTTGTGGGAAGTCAGATGTTTCTTTAGCCAAAAGGCATCTCAAGAGTATATACTTTAGCCCACAGAGGTTTGGATTTCTCTGCCAAATTTAACAATGGGATGCTACTTATCAATCAGCTCTGGATTCTCAATGAAACTAAAGAGCTCTTCTGCCACCTCCCCTAACAAACCAGTTCTCAGAGTACTCAAATTCATAGTTTGATAAAAATTTTATTCCAAATGAAAAATTAGTCTTTTAAGCTTTATTTGTAATGGTGAGACTAGCAGGAGTTTAAACGCAGGGTAGTAAAAAATGAGTCAGCTCATCTAGAAATCTTAATAGTGAAGCTCATAACCTGAACTAATACTTAAAATTTATTATGGTTATTAGAGTAGACATTTATTATTTTTCCTCCCACTCATCCTTTCTTTCTTAGGAAAAGGGGCTAACATAAAAGTGGAATAAAAAAAATAATGGCTAACAAAACCACAGCACAAGGAAAAGAAGAGCCAATGTGGGAACTGCCAAGAAAAACATTCCTTCTCTTTAGGGCTAGCTAACCAGCTCACATGCTTCTATTGAATAATCACTGGCAGGCTACCAAGTGAACGCTTTCACATCTCCCCGAACTCAAGGCCACCATTTATCTGTAATAGATACTCAAAAATTATAATCATAAATGCTAGGCATGGAAAAGAACTATTAAGACATTCCTTTTGATTTGACTAGGTCAGGATTATTATAAAAAACTAGACTATTCTCTAGTGCTTTACCAAAGAATTTTTTATACAAATGGGCCAAAGCCTTTTCCTCAAAAAAAGACTTCTTATTCTAGATTCAGTCATATATATGCATGTTTTGGTATCTTTTGCACATTGCATTGCCCTGATATTTCTTCTACATTTCAAGTTCTCCAAAAGTAAGATATTGCCTTTCTCCTTTTAAATTTTGCTTAAATAATTTTGTTTTCCTGCAAATCATCACCAGGAAATACTTAACAAGCTAATAATGCCTACTATTAAGTGCTCCCTGTGCTAGGCACTGTTCTCAATTCTATATATTAATAATTTCTTATGTTATTGTCATGAAAACTATATGAAGCAGAAACAATCATTATTACCATTTTTAAAATGAGGAGACTGAGGAATAGAGAGGGTAAGTAACTTGATGAAGTTACAGAGCTCATAAGTGCTGGAGTCAGAATTCAGACTCAGTCTCTTTTATTCCGGGAAGTATCCTCTTAGGAGCTGCCGTAAGTAATTAGAGGCAGATATCACGCAAAACTACTTGGAGGAAGTTAAATCCTTACAAATTGACATAGGAATGAAGTAAATTCTGAGCAAAGTTGTAGAAATTGAGACACCCACAACACTGGACAGACGATTAGCACAACTTGTTCAATATATGGAGAGGGGTCCCGAATGTCACAGAAAAATGTCTATTCCCTTGGGCAGCTTCACAGTGAAAAGGAATAGAAAGTTCATTACCAGAATCCACAATCTGTCATTCATAGTGTTTTGTGTGTAATTATGCTTAGGTTAATTGTACAGTTTTCAACTGAGTTTTTATGAGTCATTACTTTATATTTACTTTTATGCCAAAGTTTTAAAATCTACATTAAAAAAAAATAGGGTTTTAATTCACTGTTCTAGATGAAAAGAACAGAATAACTGTTGCTCCCCACACTTGGTAGAACTAAGTGGCTTGGGTTGCAGGGCAATGCAAACAGAGATCACCTGTTAAGAACCACCAGTCTCTAGAGGATTAGGCCTAAAGCACTGGGGTAATTTATTCAAACAAGGCATTAAACAACTATTATAAGATTGAAAATGAAAGACAAAAACAGGGAAATATAAGTGCAAATTAAAGCAAGAACTACTTTAAAAATTTAAGTTGATAAACTTGAACGACACAAAACTTGTGGAAAACTTAAGAACATAACATGATGCCACAGTAATAAATCCTGAGCAACTGAAGAAAGTGATAGAAGAGATATGTCATCTGTTGGAGTCAGGTTTTTACACTTCATTTCCAGAACTTTTATTATTAATGTTTATTAAATTTCTATACTACTTATATAAATGTCTCTGTACACTTTAATTACTTATCCCATGCCTTACTGTATACAAGTGCTTGATCCTACCAAAAAAAGTTTTGCTAATCATAGTATTTTTCAAAAATGTAATCTCCAACCTAGGTTGGCAAGGGAAGTTCATAATACAGTTTAGTACTGTGGCGTGAAAAACAAATTACACACAGTTCCCTTTGCATGGTTTAAAGTCGAGCATTCTTTAGAAAAGTATTTCATATTGTTTCAAAGTCCTAATAATAAAAGAAAATTCTTAGACAAATAACACTACTATCTTCCTATAAATAGTCATTTGAACTTAGTGGGAAAGATTTGACAAGTCAAGTCAAGATATTAATACAGAGAGAAAACAAAAACAAAATACACACACACATACACACAAAACACAGTTGTTTTAGCAGGACCAGTTTCTGTTTTGAAAAATCACATATGATACCTTGTTTTCCCCCAAATTATATTCACCCTTCTTCAATTTTCTTATTTACTTTAAGCGCTGATTTAATTTTCTTAACTCTATCTTCTACCGTGTTCTAGGAATGGTTCCCAGACCTCTTCAAATCTAATGACTTTACTCTTTATCACCCAAGAGTTATGTCTTCTACTCCACATCCAAAATATCAAGCTTCGAATTATACAACCCATGACAAAAAACTTGTCTTATACCTCTTTCACTAACTTGCTCCTGAGAAGTATATTTGTAAACATTTCTCTCATGATGACACTCAGAACCCTAACCTCTCCCTATTCCCCCAGCATATCAATCTATTTCTGCTTCAAATATTCACCACTTCGAAGACCAAATCATCTGTAAAGCTTGCTAAAAGGTTAGAATCTCTTAACCTTGCACTGTGGCCTAATAATCCGTTATGAGCAGATGACATTGCAACATGTGCTTCCTCAATTCTTGGGTTGCTGTCATGATATCACAGTAATCATGTACCATGAAAATTCATACTAAGGCAAGATCCTCTACTACTCTATAATCCTGGTATTCAACATTCATTGATACTTCAAAGTAGCAAGAAAGAAGAGGTAATGTTAGCTTAAAGAACTAGCTGGGGTGAGAAAAGTTTGTTTACATTAGGTCAGAGAAGTTGCACATTTATGCAGAGAAGAAGGATCTAATAGAAGTGAGTGAGGATTATGTGAGAAAAAAATTAATGGAGGAAGAGTGCAGAGGAAGGACGAGTGCTTAAAATCTGTGATAAAGATAAGAAGCTAGCCTTACGAAGAAGAATCTCATCTGAGACAGAAGAGAAGACCAAAAAAAAAATACAAAAAAATACAGATAACTGCAGAGGCAAAGGTAACTGAGGGATCCCAGGACAGACTTGGTTTCAGTAAAATGAGAATGGATAATCAGGTAGGGGTGCGGGTTGGGAACAGTAGAGGAGACAGTCCTACTGGAGTTTCAAAAGAGATGCTTAGTCTGAGGAGGACACCAGAATTTTTCAAAGTCACAGAGAAAAAAAGAAGCCTCTATTATGTACTAGCAGATGTATATATGCTTCACAAAAAATTACTATGTCAGAAAACCACAAGATGTGGGGCAAGTAGGAAAATATGTACAGCAAAATCTTGCTAAAAGTGACAATTTTGTAAAAACTGACTGGTAAGTGTGGTAAAATGTTAACTGTTAAATATGGCAGATAGGTGTGCAGGGGTTCATTATACTATTCTCTCTACTTTTATTTACCTTTGGAAATGTTTATAATAAAGAAATATTTTTAAAAACCGCCTAGCCATCATGGGATCTCAGGACCAACAGTCATCTCAATAAGCTCAACCACTTGCCAAAACTTTCCAGAAGATTTGAGAAATTTCAGAGATGGAATTAGATACAGATACATATACTATAGGGGACTTTTATATTCAATGAAGAGGAGTAAAAAAATAATTCTGTTTGTCCAGGATTTGTTCCAGATTTGTTCTGGGGAGTGAGAAATACAAGTCAGCACTGAAAGCCGCCCAGGAGCGTCAGGGCTGACGAACAGGCGGCAGAAGCAGGCAGCGAGGAAAAGTGCTTCGGCTAATAAGCACGGGTACGAGGAAGAAGACGGAAAACACTTACTTCATCTCCAGAACTTCCTCCAAGTGTTTCCTTCTCTCTGCCCGAAGGTTGGTCAAGTGAGTTTCCTTTTCTGCCAGAGACTGTTGAGTCGAGGACAGCTTTGCTTTCATGGACTCGAGTTCCTGCTTCACCTTCTCCATGGCCATCAGCAACTCCTCCACCTGCGGTGGACACGGAAAGGGAAAGCCTGAGCCTCTGATGGGTTCGGTCCGAGGACGGGGTGGTGGGCAACTCCCGGGTCCACAAAGCTGAATACACACCCATTAAAACTTCGGATCAGGCATATATATCAAGAAAATATAGCAAATACTGAATAAATCTCTGATCATCCCTCCACTGTAATTCTTTTCAGTTTCGGTCATTTTCTTTTTGATAAATGCCAAGGACATACAAGTTCAGGCATTTATTTAGAAATGGCCCAGAAATTTCCATGGAAATAACAATAGAACACAGATAAAGATATAAAGAACAAAATTATATTAACTATTTATAGAAAAATTTTAGGAAATAAGTGATATAAATTTGACTAATGACAGATTTAGTATAAACATAAATGGTTTTTCTGTTTTACATCATTAAAAAGAATCTTCTTAAAGAAATAGCTGGAATGCAATCAGATAATTTCTTGCTCTAAAGGCAGAAGTAGAATTTTTCAAGGAAGGAAGCAATAAAATACATATAATATATAATAAGAGAGCAGACAGAATACTTTTAAAAGACCTGAAAAAACACTCAGGAGAAGAAGACAGAATACTAAACCATGAAAAACTAAGAGGTAGATATGTACTTTACAGTAATTTCTGGGTGGTTCCCAAATCAGATTTAAATAAACATGTTCATTTTAATTCAGAAGCAGAAAATATGCTGATAAGAGACGGTATTATCAAAAACAAACTTCAGTCAGGTAATCAACCAGCCAACTGCACCAATCATGAGAGTTTTTCAGGCTGCTGCTTGCAAAAAATAATTCTGGTGACAATAAACCTTTTGAGAGGTAGAGGTGAGAGAAAGCAGAGATAGGGGATCTTCCATTCATTGACTCCTACATAAAACCAATTTGTGTGACAGTAAAACTAAGAGCAGTCTGGAGACAAAATTGCAATATAGCAAATCAGAGTTATTAACAGACTCCCTTTAGTACCTCATACCTAACCAAAGTCTCCATGTTGATTGGTAACAGCTGCTAAACAATGATAATAAACAGATAATTATGGATTTTGCTTCTTTGTGTACCTTTTCAGACATCAAGTTAATGTACTTAGCTAATAGCATCTTCAGTCCCAGGTCCTATGAGAATATATATTATGCAGATCTCAGATATATCTTCACATATCTGCTACCTTTACATAAACATATATCACTGTCCACCCTTTTGAAAACTGCCAATAAAAATTATTTCACTTTATCAGTTTAATTCATGTAAAATCTTATCTGAAACGGAATTGAACTGATATACCAAGGTATGTTCTTATGACACAAAATCAGTAATGATAGCATCACTTATACAAGCTCTAATATAGTGTGGGATGTGTCCATCTTTTATGAACTTATTTTAAACGTATCTCAAAAAACTCTCCCTCCCCTCCTGTCCTTTACTACCCCAGGCAAGAAATGGTACCAGTTTCTTATATAACTTGGAGACATAGTCCGTGCATACTCAAGTAAGCATGTATAAATAATGTCACTAATCATCAGAGAAATGTAAATTAAAACCTCAATGAGATATTACCTCACACCTATCAGAATGGCTGTCATCAATAAATCAACAAGGATGTGGAGAAAAGGTGCACTGGTGCAAGCACTGTGGAAAGCAGTACGGAGTCAAACCCCAAAATTAAAAATGAAACTAACTGCCTTATGACCCAGCGATTCCACTTCTGGGAATATATCCGAAGAAACCAGAAACACTAATTTGACAAAATATATACACCTCTGTGTTCACTGCAGTATTATTTACAATAGCCAAGGTTTGGAAGCAACCCAAGTGTCCATCAGTAGATGGACAGCATCAATGGACCTGGAGAGCATTATGCTCAGTGAAGTAAGCCAGAGAAAGACAAGTATCATACGATTTTATTCATATGTGGACTCTAATGAACAAAATGAACTAACAAGCAGACTCATACAGAGAGAGCAGGCTGACAGCTGCTGGGGATGGCGGTAGCTGGGTGAGGGGGAGGGGAGAGGGACTAAGGAAAAAAAAGAAAAGAAAAACTCACTGACATGGGAAACAGTGTAATTACTACCAGGGAAGGGGTGTGGGGGAAGGTGGAGGAGGGTATGGGGGGGAAATGGTGACGGAAGATTTGACTTGGAGTGGTGAACACACAACACAGTGTACAGAATTGTGCTCCTGAAACCTGTATAATTTTGTTAAGCAGTGTCATCCATTATATTCAATAAAAAGAAAAAAAGAATAGCACTTAGCAAAAGTATTACAAGATATATACACTGGAGATTACAAAATATCATTGAAAGAAATTAAAGAAAATTTAAATAAATGGAAAGACATCATGGTCATGGATCAAAGACTTAATATTGTTAAGATAGCAATACTCCCCCAAACCATCTACAGGTTCAACGCTACCCTATAAAATCTTTAGCTGTCCTTTTTTTTCCCCCCACAAAAAATTGACAAGCTGATCCTAAAATTCATATGGAAATTAAAAGGAGCCAGAATAATATAAGCAATCTTGAAAAAGGAAAATAAAGTTGGAGGACTCATACTTCTTGACTTCAAAATAGAATACAAAGCTTCAGGGTTGTAGTGGCGTAAGGATGACAAAGAGATCAATGGAGTCCTCAAATAAACACTAACTTTTCTGATCAATTGTCCTATACAATGTCCCACATTTTGGATTCAGTTGACTTTTTTTTATGGTGCTATTTATGCTGTTCCTCTTGTTCTCCTGTTTCCTATAGACTGAAACTTGTATCTTAAGAATTTATTAGATTTGGGTACCATTTTCCTTTCTTTCCGACAATAGTACTCCATAGGTAAGGCTTTGCAGTTCATACAAAGAGACACACAGAGGTGTCTGTCTTGCTTTCAGCAATAGCACTGATTAGTGGATGCAGATGGCAAGAGCCTGATTTCTTCATTATAAATTTCTCAATCTTTTACTAAATTCTTTTATCATTTCAATAATAATCAGTGAAGTTAAACTTGTTTCAATTGTTTAGGGACCATTTGTACTTCTTCCTTGTAACTCTCCAGCAAATCTCTGTACACCAAGCCCCAACCCTCCCACCCCCACCCCAAGATTGTTTTTCTTATCTTTGTGGATTTGGAGTTTTAAACATATAATCTAGATATCAACCTTTCATCAACTACACGTGTAGCAAATCTCTTCCAGTTTGTGACTTATGTGTTCCTTTCATTATGGTGTCTGTTTTTTAAATATTTATTTTTTTTAACTTAGAAAGAGAAGAAGGGAGAGAGGAAGGGAGGGGAAGGGAGGGAAAGGGAAGGGGGAGAGAGAGGGAGAAAGACCGATTTGTTGTTCCACTTATTTATGCATTCACAGATTGATTCTTATATGTACTCTGACTGGGGATTGAACACACAACCTTGGTGCATTAGGATGACGCTCTAACCAACTGAGCTACCCAGCCAGGGCCTCATTATGATGTCTTTTGATGATCAGAAATATCTTAAATGATCTGATCAAATTTATTAAGCATTTATTTTAGGATTTGTGACTTTTACATCCTGTTTAAGAAATCCTTTCCTATATCCAAGGTCATTGATCATGATATTCCCAACTTTTATATTGCCTTCAGCAGTTTGAAGTAGTGGTCCCAATTATTCACTCCTCTATAGTAACAGTATATTTCCACATCACTGCCATGGCCTCATGATGGACAAAGTACATTTCTTTGACCCTAGATTTTGGTTTAGCGATGTGACTTGCTTTGGGCAATGTGATGTTAGCAAATCAGACACAAGATGAGGCTTGCAATGTGTGATTAGGCTGAGTTTCTACCATTGAGAAAAAAAAAATAATGTATTGAGTCTCAGCTGGGTCTTACAATGAGCCATGAGGACCACAGTCACCCAGCAACTAAAGCAGAGCCAACCATGTTAACCCTCCAATCTACGTGACTGAAAAATGTTTATTATTACACGTGCATTAGTAAGGGTTTTCCAGAGAAGTAGAACCAATAAGATATAGTATATTGAATACAGCGTGTTTATGCGTACATATACACACATACATATACTATATTCAACATATATCCTGTTGATTCTGTTTCTCTGAAGAACCTTGATAAATAAATAAATAAAACCAAAATATATTAGTGTTATATTTAGTAATATAATTCATTATAATATTAATATAGTCATACTATATTAATATAGTATGACTATATTAATATAGTATGACATATTGGTTCATGTGATTATGGAGGCTGACAAGTGCCAACATCTACAGAGTCAGTGGGCAAGCTGGAAACTCAAGAGAGCTGATGGTGTTGTTCCAGTCCAAAGGCTGCAGGCTCAAGACCCAGGAACAGCGGATGTTTCAGGTCGAGTCCAAAGGCAGGCAAAAACTGGTATCCCAGTTTGAACATAATCAGGCAGGATTTACTCTTGCTCAGGAGAGGGGAAGACTTTTTTTGTTCTATTCAGGCCTTCCAATGACGAGAATGAATAAAGCAGGATGAGACCCACCCACATTAGGCAGGGCAATCTGCTTTACTCAAGTCTATGGATTTAAACATTAATCTTATCCAAAGACATCATCACAAAAACGCCCAGGATAGAGTTTTAGTAGATACCTGGGCACCCGCCCCGTTCAGTCAAGTTGACAAATAAAATTAACCGATCCAATTTGCTATGTTATTTTGTGATTGTCTGACTGAGAAGCTTTCAAAGAGTTTTAAAGTATTATATTTCACATTTAGTCTTTTTTTTTTAAAATATATCTTTATTGACTGTTCAGAAAGATGAAAGGAGAGGGAGAGAGAGAGGTAGAAACATCAATGCTGAGAGAGTCACTGATCAAGCCCACAACCCGGGCATGTGCCCTGACCGGGAACCGAACCCTGATCGCCTGGATCCTAGGTCGACGCTCAACCGCTGAGCCACGCCCGGCCGGGCCACATTTAGTCTTTAATCCACCTGGAACTGATTGTTGCATATGGTGTGAGGTAGAGG